TTGCCGCACATGAAGGGCTGGCTCCCACCCCAAGATGCCGGGGCGGCTGCTCTCTGCCCACACGCTGCCTGGGGACCCAGGATACTGCGGGGCTGGGGCACAGCAGGCGCTCAGCTGAGCCACTGGCCTCTGTCTAATGGATTTTTAACTGAGGTCTTAATAGAAAATGAATCCCAACAGGATATAATTATGTATTAAGCGATCATAATATTTTAGTAAAGCAAATGAATGGGTAAAATATTTTTCCCACTGAGGAACCAGAGAAGGAGTGGCGAGGTGGTTGCTCTGGTGCAGGGGCTCATCTGTAGTCTCAGGTCTAAAAATCAGACTGTATTTCAGCATTGCTGGCAGCGCTTTTGGATCAGGAGCAGCCTCAAAAAGCACAGTCATGTCAGTAGAAGAGATGTTACAATTTAAGACCTTCTGGAGATGCACTGCGCCTGTGTGAGAGCCATCTGCATCGTTATCACTGTATCGGAACGAACGCTATGCCTAGGGAAAGGGCAACAAACACCCGCTCCTGGGCTGTGACCAGGAGAGCATCACCCCACCAGAGAAAGGGATGGAGCAATGCACTTGCACTGCTGGGAGGGAATTTAATTACAGCCTTACCTTCACCCCTGTAACACAAGAATACCCCGTGTTTGTAGAGAAGCAGGGGACAGGCAGGGCCCTTCCTTTTAGGTCTTAAATGATGGAGTCTGTGGAACTGGAGAAGAGGGAATCTGGAGTTACCTGGAAAGGGCAAAGCAAAAATTTGGATACATTTTGAAGCAGAGAACCTGTAACATTTTAGGAGTTATTTTTAAGGAACAAAAACCAATTGGAGACACTAGGACTGGGGTTTGTTGTCATTTGTGTCCTCTGCTGGGCTGTATCTTGGGGTTCTTAACACCACCATTAATCCTGAAATGATCTTAAATATTTTAAAGCTGATATACAAACAACATGTTGGCATCACTTTACACACCATGGCAGTACAGTCCTCGTGGGATGAAGCACAGTGACCTTCAGGAGTGGAAAGCAAATAGAGATTCTGCCCAGGCCCCCACTGGCAAAGAAAGCATGAAGGGAATTTGGGCAATACAAGACAGAATAGGAACAGTGTCATTTCTGCCTTGACTGGGAATATCTGGGAAGATGCTGGAGTGCCACCATGCTTGGGGTGCTGGTTGGATGTTCTGGGGGCCCTATGTGAGTGTTCACATTTCCAACCATAGTTCCAATGGGAAGAGCATAGAACAGTCTTGCCTTTTGCAAGCCTAAAACTAATCATGCTCTAAGACTTTGTGAAACAAAAAAAAAAAAAAACCAGCCCAGCACGAGCATGGCTGAGGTGGTGCCAGTACCCATGGCCCTGCATCCCCGGCATCGCCCACACCAGGATGTTTCCTCGGTTGTTTTTCTTCACGTAGCCTTAGCAGAGGGAAATGACTTCCAGGGCTTGCAGCATTAGAAACCCAATCCTGGCCTGTTCTTTAGGCAGCAAAGCAAAACACCAGCTTTCTAGTCCTGATCAAGAGGAGTGAGGCCTCCCTGGTGTGCAACCCGGCCCGTGGCTGCGGGGCGGCTGGGGGAGTGGGGTGAGATGTGTGGTGGCGGGTGGCTTTTGGGAACGGATGGAGCTGGTGGAGGACTTGTCTGTGCCCAGGGAGCTGGAGCATCCCAGCAGGGAAACGGGAGGTTTTAAGCTTTGCCAATAGTGCTGCAGCTTGAGCAAAATTCGTGCCTGTCCTCATTTAAAAATTCCTGTATAATTGTGGGTTTGGCTAATCTGTTTACACAGCAGATGGGCAAGAATGTGCTTCCTGGGAGTGCTAACAGCATCTCAGCCCCGGGAAAAGCTGAGGTCCCGCTCCTGGGTGTACAGCAGGGAGAGTCCAGAAAAGCAGTTTTTCTCACAGAAACCAGAGTGATCCCTTCTCTTCCTGTCTTCTCCTCAGAGTAACAGGCGAGGGGGGAAAACCATTAATTCTGCACAGCTATATATCTTTGTAAAGTGTTGATCTTGAACTCACCCACCTCTTCTGGGTGTTCAGAAAATCAAACCTCTGCCCGTGTGTACCAGAGCCGGAGGGAGTCACTGCTAACGGCCACGGCTGGGTATGTCCCGTGCTCTCCAGCAGCTTCGAGTAAGGAGTCTACACAATGAGAAGCCCATATATTGGTGGATAGAGGAAAAAACCAGAATAAACCACTTGCCTCCACACTTTTTTGATTGTGCACCCCGTCAGTAAAAAATTTTTGAGCACGCAACCCCAACGTATGTATAATGACTTATGAATTATATACATGTACTGCTGTACTGATACGTATATTATAAAACATACACAAAAATATGAATTAAAAAAGGATGAGACAAGGATGAAATAAGCACTACTTTAAAAATATATATCTTTTTAATTTTCTTATTAGTGGTGCAGAAAGTGTTTTCTTCCCAGAGCCTAAGGGGTTGCCTTGCACACCCACTCTGGAGAGCACGGGTGTAAGCCATTCATCGGGAGCAGAGCTGGTTACCTGGGTCCTGCCTGGAAACTACAGGAGCTGTGTTACTGTACTGGGGCTGAACGGGAGGGTAATACAATTTAGAAAACTTTAATAAGGTCCATAAATAGAGGCTGTCTGCGCCTCGGCTGGGAGCTGCTGGAGTCAGCTGGGTAAATCAGAGCAAAGCATTTGTATCTTTAATTGGAACAGAAAAGCACATGAACAGCTTTTGAGTTTCATGCCTTAATCACACATGGAGGGGATATTGAGATGTCAGGACTTTGTCTTCTGATATGAGGTGGACAAACAGTGGAGTGGGAAATGGAGGCACACAGGGGTGATGGGATTTCTGAGCATCAGTGCTGGGAGCAACCCCCAGCTCTTCCGTGTTGATGCAGTTACTCAGTATTGGGCCAAAGCATGCCTTTGTGTGTAAAGTTATAATCTAAAAATTGCTATCAAAAGATGGGTTATGTTGCTGTTGTGAAATATTGACAACTAATGGTATTTCACATATTAGACATCTGTGAACAACTTGGTGTGTTTCCATGGCTATCCTCATGTCATGGATGAGGGAATAAATATATGTAGAAATTGGTATTAGGAATATGCAAAATGGCTCTGGGAGTTGCTTAAAACCAAATGTCCTGTGAATCTATTGCCTGGAAGTTGTAAACAGCTAAAGTTCAGCTGTACTAGAGTTATACCAGAAAGTCATTAATTATTTCTGTTGTGAAAAACTACCTAAGCTACCTAACTATAAATGCAGTTCTCATAAATAATTCATTTCAGACTGTGGCCAAGCACGGTTGCAGTCAACTGTCACGACTTGGTGAAAAAGATTCAATCTTGAGAACAGGACATTTCTGTCTGTGATTAGCTCCAGCTTTTGCAGGTTGTTTCATGGTCAGAATACAAATTCTGCTGCCTCCTGAGCGACGTTGGGAGAGCAGCACAGGGAAACTTGTTATATCGCTTTTTATATTGCTTGTTGTGTTGCTTTTTATCTGGCTGCTCTCATGCAGACGGCTTTTGTCAGAGGTTACCTCTTACCTCCCTTCCCAGCCTTGCGGTAGACAGCAATCAAGTTCTCAAAACACCTGATTTGCCTCTGTTAATAAATTAGGTTTTAACTATGTGCTTGCCTCTGGCGCTTAACTGCAAGCCGGATTTCAGAGGCTTGGGCAACAAACTTCCCCTTGATGTACTCCTGCCCGGGGGTGCCTACCTCTCGCCGCGGTCGGCGGGGATCAGGGCACACACACCATGTCCCCCAGCTCTGTGCTCTTCTCCCCCAGAGCCTGTGTTCCTGGATTGTCTCTGACAACGGACAGCAGCCTCCCATTTAGGCAAAGCAAGGAGGTGATAATCCTACTGATACAATGAAATTACTTGTAGGGTTATGGGAGAGGAAGGGTTTGTATGAAGGCAGCTTACTGTGATATCGCCCCTGAGATGGAGCTGTGCCTTTTCCACCGAGGTTGTAGGTGGAGAGTGTCCTTAAAACGTGAAAGCAGGTGAGAGGAAGAATGTCACTCGTTCAGGGGAAAATGTGAGTCAGTAAGTATATTCGCACGTACAAGGCTAAGGTTGGGTTCATAGATTGTCACATTTTGTTTAGCACAGGCTTCGGGTTGTCGCTGTGTGTGGACAGTGCCATTGCTGTGAATTTGGGGTGTTCCTCTGCTGCTGTGTGCTCATGAATGCAGATAGTGGTCTTTAGTCATCACCTGAGAATTTCTGTTCTGCCTTCCAGGTCTCACAAAGCTTTTAAACCTGATCTCTTTTTAGGATGTGATCGGTGGAGCGCTGATTTCTGCTGTGCTGCTTGTGCTCTTGTACCCTGCGTGGGACGTGATCGATCACTTGCTGTTAACCAGTCCCTTCTGCCCAGTGCTTTCCATAGTTGTGCCTCTTGTCCTATGTTACAACTACCCCAAACTGGACTATTACAGCCCTACCAGGGGAGACACCACAACTATCTTAGGAGCAGGAGCTGGAGCAACTGTGGGATTTTGGTTAAATAACCAGTATACTGCACCAGCCTACACCAGCAAAAATTTTCAGCTTGGATTTCCTCTGATCACTGGTAAAATAGTGGTGGTCGGGCTAGCCAGGTTCTTTGTAGGGATCCTTGTTCTTCTACTGACGCGCTGGCTCATGAAGAGCGTTGTCCTCGGCATGCTGTGTTACTGGTACAAGTTTCCCATGCGCGACCTGGAAGCCCGAAGACGACTGGAGGTGGAAGTGCCATATAAATTTATAACGTACTCCTCGGTTGGCTTCACTGCTACCGTGCTTGTGCCGCTGCTGCATGAGCTGCTAGGACTGATGTGAGCGCAGCACCTTCCTGACATAGCCATGTATAACACCACCATTTCAGAGATGCCATGAGTCCATCAAGGCTGGTAACTTCACCAAAAAGCGTTTTGTGCCTTTCTCACTAGCCTAAAATACCCGATTTAAAAGAGTCACGGGAATGGCTGTACACAAACCACTGTGGGTTAGGAATTGCTGACCCCACCGTGTCCCATAATTAGAGACCCCACACCCAGACGACTAAAGATGACAAGCACAGAGTACAAAGCCAAAATCCCTGCCAGAGTGGCAGCAGCGGCTGGGGTGCCGTGGGGTTGGGGTGCTGGGAAGTGTGGCTGTGCCTGTGGGATGCCCCCTCCGGGGGCTGCGAAAACGCCTGCCTGGCCGTGGCGCTGCTCCTGCCAAAGAGGGAGAGCAAGCCCAGGAGGGCAGGGGGGAGTGAGCGGCTGGTGGGCTGTGGGAGGAGGCAACCAGCCAAGAGTGAGGTGCCATCCTTGGGGCGTGCAGAGCTCTGTGCTCCACTGTCCCCTGGGGACTGGGGACAAAGGAAGAGTGGCTGAAGGAGGAGAGGCAAGGTGGAGGTGAAGGGAGGTGGAGGCACTCCAAGTGCTGGCACCTTCCCGCTGCTGGGCTTCGGTGGCAGGGTCCTGCTGGCCAAGATGGCAGGTCTCTTCAGCAACCACTGTTGGCAGAGGTGGGAGACAGCCATGCTTGGGTACGGCTGAGCACTTCCCTGAAGAAATCTGATCACTGTTGTACCTGTCACTTGTCATACTGTCCTCTGACGGCACTGCCAGACCTGGGTAGTTCTGTGTGTATGGTTTTACCCACTGCAATCCCTCACAGAAAACCCAGCCCAAAACCAAAAAGTAAACCAGAAGAAAGAAAAACTCAACACAAAACATTTTAAATGATTTGCAACAAGTTTATCTTGGATTTTAATAAGCAAGCCTCCACTTAAAGGGTCCTTTGCCTACATACAACCGAGCGGAGTTGTTACCACAGTAGTGAGGCTTGTGTCCAAACTGTTCACCTGGCTAGGGGATGGGACAAAGTCCTTCCAATCATGCAGGGGTGACAAGTAGTGTCCTTAAACCACGCTGTGGAAGGAGCTGAGTGGTGACTCCAGTGACTGCAATGTGTGGCGATGACAGGACACCATCATTTTCTGGTGCTGCACAGCATTACTGTTGGTCTTCCATGCGTCTTGCAATACCATGTATACACTTGTAGATAGCAGTTGAGGAGTGTCCATAGGAGGGTCGTTGCTATAACTCAGGCTGCTTATTTTAAAAATATATATCAGCTGTTGGACCAATGAGCTGTTGAGAAATATGGCTGTGAATGTGGTCCGCTTGGCTAGAAAAATATAACACGCTATGATCACAGAGCTTCAAGCATGGCCCCGTGCCTTTCCCTGGCAGAATGTACAGTGAAAGCCAGCTTTTTAACCACGCACACTTGCCTTCTTGGCTGCACGAAAAATCTACCTGAAGACTGTAAAGGAGGTGCTTTGCCATCAATTGACCACTTGGATAAATTCCAAAAATGTAGCTGGGAGTTTTGTCTGAGGAGCAGGAGGCACGCACATGAAAGCCATGCGATTTTAAAACCAAGTTGATAGTCTCCAGAAGAAACACAAGCAGAAATTTTAACCATTTTTAGGTTTGCCCAGGCTGTGGATAAACCGTTTTAAATTAGGCAGTGTGGACTTTACATGTGCACGCGAACGGCTTCAGCAAGCCTTTCAGCAGGGCACGTGCCCGCTCACACGCACGCTTTGGTGAGCGCAGGACTGGGGCCACCAAAGCCGCAGGGTCCTGTCCTCGGTCGCCCTCCTTCCCACACACCACTGAAGTGCTGCCATCAGGCTTTAAAACACCCTCTGTTAAGAGTGCTTATGATGTACAGCTTCATGGCAGAGCTGAAGCCCTATGCAGGTGCCACATCACAGTGGATGGGAGCAAAATTTGTAAAAAACTTGAGAGCAAGCTGCATGTTCAAGCTGTGGGGTGGAAGCAGTTTGTCCCAAGAAAGGCATGGTTTGACAGGGATGTTCCTGCAGTTTTATGTGTAAAATTTCTGTTCTGAATCACATCTATTTTGTGCTATGAAGATTTTATAAATTATATATAAATGCTTGGATTTATAAAGTATGTGCAGAAGTATTTTTACCTTTTATAGCATTTACCTGCATGGGATTCCCGCAATACATGCAAACTGTACTTGGTTCAAATTTTAAAATACACATATTTTGCAAAATCTGATGTTTCTCTCTTCATTTTGTTCTCTCTGTTGCTACTTGTAAATGATTGCTATAAGGGCAATGAGTTGCAGTTTAAAAAGCTTCCCAAAGGCAGCCCCCCAGCTCTCCTCCCCAGCTGGCCGGCTTGCAGCCCCCCCTTCTCCTGCGCAGCCTCACTGCCCGCTTTGGCCCCTCCAGGCTCAGCAGTAACACCCTGCTTTTTAAAAAAACATTAAAAAAATATACTACTGATCTACTCCCAGCTCTTTTTTATGTCCTTTGCAAACGGCAATGTGTGAGCTGCTGTGTCATTAGTGATGGGGGACTCTTGGGCACCTGGAATCTCCTTCACCTGCACTATCCACCTCTAATAGACCAAACAGTTAATTGGAAGCTAAATTTGATTTTAAATTAATAGATGCAATTATAGCATGACAGCCCATAAACCACAGAATATTTTGTGTTCATTGAGGAGCCTAGTGAGGTTTTGTTGTCAAGATGCCTATTTGGAACTGGATAGGGCTGTGTCCTCCCCTCAGCACCATGTCCTGCCTGGGAGCGGTGTGCCCACGGACCCCCAAGTGCCCACAGCTGACAGGGGTGAGCCCCGATTGCTGCAGCATCTCTGTGCTGCTGGGCACAGGCAGGGCTTTCAGCTGGGCTTTGTGCTGAGGCTGTGCTCCTGGGATGTTCTCAGGACAACAGCGGTTCTTGCAGGGCCAAGCCTGAAGAGACAAATCCTCTAACAAGGTAAGGCATGTCACCCTTTCTGTATTTCATTAACCTGAAGCACCAGGTCCTCCTGCAAACCTGTGTGTGTCTTTGCTGCCTTTGGATGCGCTCCCACCTCTTCATCCCTGCAGTTCAGATGCCTCCACATCTCCCGTGTGATGGTAGAAAATGAGGTTTTGTGGCTGGTTTGGTGGTCGTGCTATGTGCTCGGTAACACAGGGGCATCAGCTGCATCCTCTTGAGTATGTACACTCATTTTTTTAAAGTAAAATGCTGCTCTTGATACGGATGGGGTAGGAGACAACTTCCAGCTACGGCTGCAGC